AGTTTACGACAAAAATATTCTGATAGAATGGAATGCATTTAAAGGCACAATTTAATTTCTAGTCTTGCAAATGTAATCAATACTCATACTTCTTACTGCTGCAGTTGCTGGTCACCTGACCTCGTGTGTCATATCCAACAACAAAGCCTCTCTGCTTAAAGTCTGAAAAACACCTCTCAAGATACTTGTAGATCCCCTGGAAAGAAAAAAAAAAAAAAAAGGTAGGGAAGAATTAGCTCTAGTGCAGCACACACAAACATTAAAAATAATCTTTCACATAGGATGGATAATGTCTGCAGCCAAAATACACCTCAGCAAAACATCAATAATGATATTCACAAAAGCAGCATATTTATTTTTCCCCAAAGTGTCCACAGAAAAAGAAAGCAAACAGAAATAGTTGTGGGAAATCAGTGGTACAACAGTAAGTGACCAAACAGCATGAACAGAAAGCTCGAGCCAGCAAAATCCTCAAGCAGCAAACACTTGGTTTTCAATCCGTACTGTGCTGTTACGTATTCAAACCATCTCCTTAAAGATCCAGTTGAGAAAAATCCTTTTTTTTTTTTTTTTTGAAAGTCCATGAAGTCAGGCAACATAAAGCTAGTGCTAGTCAGTGCTAGTCTTCACCCTCGTGTTCACAATACAAGTCAGACAGCTTTTCAGCACTGCTTCCAAAGTGTTAGTTCTAAATTCGCATTAAAAGGATGCTTCATCCTTACTCAAGAAAGTTCATTACTAGTGACCTGCTCCAGGCAGATGGAAGTCCTCGATTTATATACTATGCAGATACAATAACACAAATACAAGCTGCCTTCTAATGCATCAAGGCAGAACATTTCCAATGGCAAGGTACCAGAGGAGACCCCCCCGTGCAGGGAGGAGAAAGGGGAGCAGATGAAGGGAGTAAATTTTTCAGACACGTTGGGGGTGAGGAGGAATATGCACTGAAACACACAGGAGAAAAAACAAACAGCCTCAGTCAGCCACCTCTTCTTTGCAAAACAGGAGGAGATAGGTGCTCTTCGAAATAGCGCATTACACAGTGTTCCAGCTTCGCCTTCCCCATGGCCTTCAGGTCCATTCATTTCCCAGTTAGAATCCCTCTGGAGATCCATCACAGAAACAACCCAGGATGGATCAGCCGTTTTTGCCAAAAAGATGGAAGCACTATTGTTAAGGGAAGTTTCCAGAAGCTACCATTTACTGCAATCAGAAGGTAGCCTTCCCTAACAAAAGCACGGCGCTGTGAACTTACCATAGCCAGGACCATCCTAACAAGGGCACCTCTTAGGAGGGTACAAGTTTCCTCTTGATAGAAGGAGTGGGGGTGTTTTGTACTAGAACTAAACAGATTTTTTTCCCCCACAGTATTAAGTACAATTCTTTGCAATGTTCTTATCCGGATCTGACTTGATATCACCAATAAGAAATCTCTCAATTGGAAAGCTAGCCTGACTGCTACCCAAGAAATTCAGTTGAGCTCAATTTTTTTAATGGTTCTTGCCCTTTCCACCAAAGAATGTGCTTCAAAGCACAAACAAGTGGATACTGGCATCATTGCTCTCTACAACTACCTGAAAGGAGGTTGTAGTGAGGTGGGGGTTGGTCTCTTCTCCCATGTAGTTAGCAATAGGACAAGAGGAAATGGGCTCAAGCTGCACCAGGGGAGGTTTAGATTGGATATTGCGAGAAATTTCTTCACAGAAAGGGTAGTCAAGCATTGGACCAGGCTGCCCAGAGAGGTGGGGGAGTCCCCATCCCTGGAGGTGTTCAAAAAACAGGCAGATGTGGCACTTTGGGACATGGTTTAGTCTAGTCTACCCTTGATTGGTTTAGTGCGGACTTGGTAGTGTAGGTTACTGGTTGGACTGGATGATCTTAAAGGTCTTTTCCAACCTAAACGATTCCATGATTCTATGATTCTATCTCTTTAGAGAACTATTTCAGCTGCAGATATAGCATGTCTATAGGGGGATTCACAGAGAGAGAAAAACTTTGAAATAAATAAAAATCCCTGAATACAGACAGAACTGGAAGCAGTGCCACGGCACCAGCTGAAGTCACCTTCACACTGAACTGAAATGTGTTGATACACCACCATGTTCACACCACCCTGACAACTTACTGAGAACTTTCACAGTTGTAAAGAGATAAAAGATAGAGGAATGGGGAAAACTTGTTCAAGTTTGATTAGAACAGATCGAATAACAGTAAATCTCTAAAGATGAACAGCAGATTTGTTTTCAACAGATCCCTTATTTAGCAGTATCTTGAGGTCAGAGCACACTGCAAAGTTTTATCTGAACTAGTTCCTCAAACATCAAGAAACTGCACAAAAGACAAAATCTATGGAAGAAGCAGGACCAAATTAGACAAATTAGACAACTAGTTAGAAGCAGAAAACAAACAGTGGCATATAAACTTTTTCAGAAGCAGCACGAATCCATGTAAGTTCAGATAGAACAACACTCCTGCCAATGTAAGAAAGTCAATATGTTACAAACCACTCTTTGCAAGTGTGAAACTGTTACTCATGATTTCCATTTCACACCTACCACCCAGGAGCCCTCCCTCAAGAGCAGAGGCATCTCTTGAACTTTCTGGCAACTCTGGCACCTCTAAGATTCTGCACATCAAATTTCTTCCTCACCCCTTACTTCCCAGTGACAACCATTATAGCTGGTTTGGTTTTTTGGCTCTAATGCCTGCACCCTTAGACATCTCCCAGCTTTCCATTCCCTCATTCCACAAACACAGAAGAACTGATCTATTTTTGTTGCAAAGGGCCCATACTGATCTTTTTAGTCAACTGAATCTTCTGCACTTTCTCCCCCTACACCTCATCCCAGCGATTTCTGCCTGAGCATTTCTGGCAGCTATGGGGTGCCACCACAATCTAAATAACGCTCTCCTCAAGGGTAAGGCAAGATTTTTCCTAGGACACCAGCTTCACTGTTTGACAGAGATCAAAGATTTTGTATGAATAAAAATAGCAATGTCTTTACTTTCTGCCACGGAAAAGTTTTGCTTAAAATTAAGACACAATGCGATATGCTATATAACAAAATACTTTGAGCTTAGCCAAAGATCCAACAGCTGAAATTAGTCCAGCCCTACTGGACTTGTTTACTATCCAAATACCTTTAGTAAAGCGGCAGGAAATAAAAATAAAGAATGACACTGAGAGGAAGTGTCATTTTCACTTTTTTCCAGGAGCCTTTCTCCCTTTCTCAGAGGGCAGTTAGTAACTCCAACACCTCTTGGGATAAGTCCTTTCTTCAGCAAGTTTCTCAATTTAAAGAATTCCTATTTCCTTTTTACAACACTCAGGTTTTGACAGTGTCCCCATTTAATTTCTCCTGGGATAGCTACTGCTTCTAAATTGAAGATATCCAAGTCAACATCTTGCCATTACATACTTGGTGATAATTAATAACTTATCAGCAAGTGTCAGCATACAAATGTGTAATTGCCTCTGTGTATCTAAACCAAAATTCTCTTTAGGTGCACTGAAGTATTACAAATATTTATACCACTGCAGAGCTCAGGTGATTTCCCTATGTAAAATTCACAGACAGATCTAGTCTACTTCTACAGACATGTTTTAAATAATCCTCTTGCATGTCCAGTCCCTTAGGATCAATTTCAAAAGAGAAGCCAGCCAGCACAGATTCACCAAGGGCAAGTCCTGCCTGACCAACCTCATGGCTTTCTATGAAGGAGTGACTGCATCAGTAGACAAGGGAAGAGATACAGATGTCATCTATCTGGACTTCTGTAAAACCTTCAACTGAGTGCCCCACAACATCCTTCCCTCTAAACTGGGGAGACACAGATTTGATGGGTGGACTGTTCAGTGGATAAGGAATTGGTTGGATGGTCGCATCCAGAAAGTAGTGGTAAATGGCTCAATGTCCAAATGGAGACCGGTGACAAGTGGGGT